AAGCTTCCGCCCAGCCATGACATGGCTTTCAACCGTCTAATGGGCATAGAAAGAAGGATGGCTAAGTCTCCAGAATTCGCAGCAGAGTATGCCCAGAAGATCGATGAGTACGTTCAGAAAGGCTACGCTCGTAAGCTAACACCAGCAGAGGCTGCCGAGCAAACCGCACATACCTGATACTTACTGCAGTTCGCTGTATTCAATCCGAACAAGCCCGGAGAAGCTACGTTTTGTATTCGACGCGGCCGCCAAAGCTAGAGGGATGTCGCTAAATGACGCACCGCTCCCAGGCCCAGATTTGCTGAACCAGCTCGTGGGTGTCCTGATGAAGTTCCGCCAACGTGCTATGGCCTTTGCGGCTGACATCAAAGAGATGTTTCATCAAGTTCGGATATACCTAGAAGACCAGCCAGCTCAGCGCTTCCTATGGCGACAACCTGGTGAGACTGGCCCGCCTGACATGTACGTCATGGAAGTCATGATCTTTGGCGCAGTGTCATCGCCATGCTCCGCGCAGTTCACGATGCGGCGCAATGTTGAGGAGCACCGTGAGGAATTCGCTGCTGTAGCCGCAGCATGTGAGGAGAACTACTACATGGACAACTACCTGGACAGCGTCGACACTACCGACCAGGCGGTACAGCGTGTAGCCAATACAATTGAGATCCAGCAGCGAGGCGGGTTTACGATCCGCAACTGGATTAGCAACTGTAGCGAAGTGATGATGAGTGTGCCAGCTGATACGAGAGCAACTGGAGTCGTTGACCTCAGCTCACAACAGCCGGTAGAGCGCATGCTGGGTCTTCGGTGGGATCCAAACAGTGACGAGTTCCTGTTTCAACTCAACGTGACACGCCGAGAGTAGCTGTGTGCCGCGCATCCCACCAAGCAACCCTACTTAGCATCGTCATGTCAGTTTTCGACCCGCTAGGTTTCCTGTCTGCGTTTGTCATTGCCGCACGGATACTCCTCCAGGACATCTGGTTGAGTGGCATCGGTTGGGATGATGAGATTCCACCCGAGCTGCTATCGCGCTGGCAGAATTGGTGTGGACAGCTGCTGGAGATCAGCCAGTTCAGAATCTCACGCGCATACTCCTGTTTCACTTCGTCCGGTACTGACTTGTCTCTACATGACATTGTGTTCTGCGATGCCAGCAGCAAAGCGTTTGCGGCAGTGGAGTACCTGAGAGTGGAGCACACAGATGACGTCGAGTGCAGCTTGGTTGCCACCAAGACTAGAGTAGCCCCACTGAAACCAACATCCATTCCACATCTGGAGCTCCAAGCTGTGGTGTTTGGCTGTCGACTCGACCAGATGTTAGCCTAACAGCATGGGATTAAGTGGCACAGCACCTGTTTCTGGTCAGACTCCAGAACCGTTCTCCAATGGCTCAAGTCAGATGCGCGACTGTTCAAGCCGTTTGTCGCTCACCAAGTAGCTGAGATCTGCGACGCCAAAGAGGCCAGCAGTTGGCACTGGGTACCAACACTGCTGAATGTTGCAGATGATGCATCTCGTGGTATCTCCATGCACGAACTGAGCTGCGGCCGATGGAAGTCTGGTCCGGATTTTCTAATGCAGTCATGGGAAGCGTGGCCAGCTGCAAAGGCAACGTCGGATGAGTGCATCGACACGACCGAAGTGAAGAAAGAGTTCGTTGCGGCGACAATATCCCTGCCAAGGCCCCAGCAATTTGCCGAATCGCTACCTGACGTCAACCGTTTCTTGTCATGGAAACGTCTCATCTGCACAACCGCGTATGTTGCCAGGTTCATCGCAAACACGCGGGCCAGAGTTCGCGGACAAACTGTCAAATCAATCGCAGCCATCTCAGCCAAGGAAATGGATGCGGCCTAACAGCTCTAGATGAAATCTGTGCAGGCAGAGTGTTTTGCCGTAGAAGTGGCATTGTTGAGCGATGGCCAGCCTGTCAGCACCAGCAGTCGTCTACGACAGCTAGCACCAGCCATTGATGAGGACGGGATCCTGCGGGTTCAGGGTCGCCTCACACATGGCGTACAGTGCAAAACACCCGGCTATCCTGTGTCCGAAGCATAGGTACACACAGCTCCTAGTCCACGAATACCACCTGCGTTCTGGCCATCATGGACACGAGAGGACATTGAATGAGCTTCGCCAGCAGTACTGGGTGACGACGGATCGAGCAGCTGTGAAGCGAGCATGGTCTGAGTGTCAATAATGCAAGAACCAACGAACCTAGCCCAAGCCACCTGTAATGGGAAATCTACCTGTCCAGCGCTTGATCCCGTTCCTGCGAACATTCACGTTCACCGGGCTGGACTATTTCAGACTGTTGCACATCAACATCGGGAGGTGCCGCGAACTACGCTACGGTGCGTTGTTCACATGGCTGAGTACTCGCGCTGTACAGTTGGAAGTGGCTCACTCTCTGAACACTGATAGTGCCATCATGGCAATCAGGCGAATGTGCGCCCGGCGAGGTTACCCCCAATAAATCTACTCAGATAATGGAACCAATTTCCGAGGAGCTGACAGGGAGCTGAAGGCAGCATTGGAAGATTTCCGCCAAGACCGACTAGCTTCTGAGTGTTCCAGTAAGGGCATCTCATGGCACTTCAACCCGCCACGTGCTCCCCACATGGGTGGAAGCTGGGAGCGCCTCGTCAGAGCAGTAAAGATCGCTATGAAATCCGTCATGAAGGAGCGTGTCGTGACAGAAGAAGTCCTTGCCACTGTCTTCGCTGAAGCCGAGCAACTCGTGAATAGTCGGCCGCTGACTCACGTCTCAATAGATCCTGATGATCACGAGTCCCTCACACCCAACCACTTTCTCATTGGGTCCAGTAGTGCGACTAGTCGGCCAGGCGAGGGATGCTGATCTGTGCCTGAGGAAGCACTGGCGGATTGCACAGAAGATCACCCACGAATTCGGGAAGAGGTGGATCTTGGAATACCGGCCAGAACTCACCAGGCGGAGGAAATGGCAGGACGGGACACCATCACTGGCTGTAGGTGATGTTGTGGTGGTCGTCGACAGCAACCAGCCACGAGGGCAGTGGCCTCGGGGCCGACTGGAGGCTGTACACCCGGGCAGTGATGGCGTTGTGCCAGTAGCAGATGTCCCCACCAAGTCTGGACTGTACTGGCGCCCAGTCGTCAAGCTTGCCAAGCTGGACGTGCTGCGCTGAGTTTGTTTGTGACTTGTAACAGGTCATCGGTACCCTGTTACCAGGGGGGAGAATGTTACAGACACTTGCACATGAATTCACAATTATTGTATTTGCTTGTTCGAATTTATTTTGTATTTTGTTTCTCTCATCTTTCACTGTTCCCGAGTGGATCACATACCTGCGTGCTCCACTCTGCTGCAGTTAGAGGCAGCTACTCTACATGCAGGCGAGACGATTCCATTGTGTATCTGCATGTCTCCTTGACAATATCTGTCCAGCTCTAAATAATTAGAATCAAATTCCTTCTCTCTTCTCTCTTTCTTCTTCCCTTCGATTTTTTTCGCTTCTCTCAGGTATTTTTGTTTTGGTTGTACTTTGTACACTATTGCTCTATCTGATGATGCGATGCAGTTTATGGATGTCGTCACTCCTTGGGGCGCAGTGCACTGGATGCGCAGTGACCTCTACGATTTACGCCAGAGCTAGGCATATTTTTTGGCTGCATGTTTCCTTTTGCGCTGCCAGCGTTTCTGCTTGAAGCTACTTGTACACGTGTCGCTCTTTGCTTTTCAGAACTCTTTGAGATTCAGTTTTATTCCACTTTGTAAAGAACAAGAACAAGTAATGGTTCAAAGGAAATCTTGTCTACCATGGCCAGAGGGCCGCAACAGACAGTGTTATGTAGTAGGAAGGTTTCCGTCCTGAGATTTTTTGAATTTGTTTGCTTGACGTTCGAACCGAAGCGCACATTAATTTTTAATAAGTAGGACCAAGTATCTCCTTTTTATACCCACTCCCATCCGGGGCAATGATCAGGTACAACCACTGGGGTACAATCATGATGTCATACCCCTTCACAACCTTTCTATTACCCGAAAAATCGTTTTTTACTTAAAAACCTGGCATCCGGTTTTTACCCCAAAAATGGGGTACTATCAATAGTACCCCATTTTTTAGGACTAGACCATGTACCTCACCCAGAACCGGCCCGACACATCCTACTCACTTGTACTTGTACTTGTTGCTCACTGCCAAACATGGGTCTCCCCGGGAGAGGGGAGAGAGACTCAAAAGGAATCTTGGTAAGATGACTCAATTGGCTATTGAACCGCCCAACGGCCGACACCCCTGAAATCCCCAAAAACTGTGGGTGAACTTGAAAATGATGCCACTTATGGGCTCACCACACCTCAGTAAGTGGGTGAGGATAAGGTGCAGAAAAAGTGTTGACCACATCAGGGTATCCGTCCAGGGATCCAGCTGCAGTTACCCCTGCCCCCAGTGAAGGTAGTACTTGCTTCTAGTGTGGGTGGCTAAATCAGACTGGATCTGATATAAGCTTCATTTGCACCATTGATTACACAAGAGTTAATCTAGCCGTTCGGAGCAGACACTTTCTTCATTAGAGAGGTTTCGTTTCACGTTGTTCTGCACTACACCGTGAAATTTCACGTCGGTGTGGCAAATTTTGGCGTCGAAACTCCCGTTCATGACGTGAGCTGAGGTCAACTCACGTTCGACGTGAACGCGAGTTTTGCAAATTTAGCCTTGCTATCAGGTTGGGATTATGGACTCGATTTTGTCGATTTTGCCTAAACTAGCTATAAATAATATTTGTGTGACTTTGGCCTCACCAGAAAATCACTTTTTCACTTTTTGAAGTTTTTGCTCCCAGTTTTCGCTCCTGTCGTCAGCGAAACGACGTGCTTCACAAGCAACGTGAAGCGAAAGCTCTTTTTGAGCTCGCGTCAACGCAAAAAAATTGACGTTCACGTAAGAGCACAAATCACGCGGGTCGAAACCTCTCTATTCTTATACTAGAGGCAATAATTATTATGAACTCACCGTTGGAAATGCAAGTCCGGATTGCTGTGAGGAAATTCTGGTCTTTCCGGTGTGACCTCATAATGACTGCCAGCACAAGCTGGAAGTCCTTACTGCAATTATTTAGCTGGTCGTATTCCTGCTGCGAGATGTGGGGCTGAGCAGCAGCAGCTACGTCAGTGCGCCTCGAAAACTCCAGCTCATTGTCATAGCTCTGTGGCAGAACTTCAACATCATCCTCATCCTCATCATCCTCATTGTCCTCTGACAGCACTCCATCATCCTCTGTCAACTCGTCTAAGGCCACAGTGGAGCTGCTAGAGTTGCCTAAAAGTCAAACAACAAGAAGTTCATAACGTTACTTCATGTCAAGATCATAGACAAGGTAATTGTAACTCGTGCAAGAAGGCAAAGGTGGACTCGCAGGAGTGTTCAGAAAAGACTAGGGCTTGATAATTGAAAGTGCTACATCATAGAAAGCCAGGAGCCAAAACATAGAGGTGACGTTGGATTTACTTGCCGGGTCCATTTTTTTGGCATGTGGCCATACACGTTTTAAGTGGTTTTCCAACACAGCATAGTGCCACATCCATTGGTAATGACTGCACTGGGCCCTCCATGTCACTTCTTGTACGAAACAAGTTTACGCCTACACGCGACACAAGGCGTTTGTTTTGTTTGTTTGTATAAAAGCTATATTTTACTTTCCCATGGGTCCATCTACTAAATCAGATTCTTTCCCGTAGGTGGAGTGGGTCCAATTTTTGTTGCTAGATTTTGACTGCTAACGACTTCTGACGTCATCGATTTCTAGCCCCACTGAACTTGATACGAGCACAGACAGTGGAAGGCTGTCAAAAACACAGTTTCTTTGCCTAGCGCAGCTGTGGTACAACTTAGGGACCGATTTACTTGGCTCTGAAGCTGGTTTACAACTCCGTGAAGACTTCCACTTTACCTCAATGTTTTCCTTGGCGAAAACCTTTCCAGGAAGTCAAGATAATGACATATGAGCCGAGCCAAGCAAAAAGGTGGCTTAGGCATAATTTTTGGAAATTTCTTTTTCATGCCAAAGTGATGTCTACCTATCCAGCTTCCATCAAGGAAATTTTGGTGCCCATCTGAAATGTATATGTGCCATAAACAAGCAAACATTGCGCACATGTCCCAGCATGCCTGGTATCAATGAAACTAAGATAATACTTCCTCCGCGTCATCGAAATTGTCGCAGTTTGACTAGTGACTTGTCACTTGTTACTGACAACTTCATAAACTAAGCCATTCGAAACTTATTACACAGTATGATAGTCTGAAGACTAGAGTAACGTTCTAGGACAATTGGACTGAGAGTTTTCATGCAGAGATGAAGTCCTCGTCGTCGCTGATGTCAATGGACACAAAAATATCGTTCCCAAATATTTCAAGGAAGGTTGAAAGTTGGTCGCACCTCATCTCAAACGCTTTGACTTTCTCCACAAGACAAGAGCTGCTATGCTTGTCGTCTGCTAGCTCTGGATGATTTCTACTTCACCACCAACGAAGCCTAGTAAGAATACACGATCGTTGCGAGGTCGGTTGATTACCGTCGGCGGAATCACCTCGGAATCACCTCGATCTTGAAAATAATGAACTTTTTTTAGCCGTGGCATGCCCACATGTACAGCTCATGCAGGTAAGTGTAGTATCACGTCCAGCGCGCCCTCTTTTTCAGCACTGGTATACCATGGTACGGCACCTGCGCGTGCATCACTAGCACTACGTGTAGAGTCTACACGGCTCTTGCAGGTACAATCATGTACTAGTAGTAGTACTGAGTGTCTCAGCCAGAGCGACAAATTTTATCGCTGTTGCAGGCATTTAGTTTGCCGACCCCTCGATGTTTCTCCAAGCGCTGCCACTTGTTCCACGAAGTCATTCTCACCCCAGATAAGGTAAAGCAGTGATGGGGCTTGAGTGAATGGCCATAAGCACGAGAAATTTGCAGGCTGCAACACCTGACTGATCTCAGCGAGTCGAAATTACCAGCGCAGCGACATCAGCGAAGAAATTGCGTCTAGTTCAAAAATTCCAGCTTCCAATAACAGAAAATAGAACTTTGCCGTCACCCTATACTGATGACTATCGCCTATGTCCGATCCCTTGCCTCTGGTACGAGTGCTGGTGAGTAAATACCGCATTTTACATCAAAAGTCAAACTGCGACAATTTCGATGACGCGGAGGAAGTAATCATTATGAAGACCTGCCCCCCCCCCCCCTCCAGAAAACATGGGACACCAAGTGGAGACAAAGCTTAGCAGGTGTGGAAGCAATACAAGAAGAACGAGCACTTGAGTTGTGATTAGAAGATCCAAGAAAGAAGTAACGAGAGAGCTTGGAAGCTCAGGGCCCTACGCTATGCTTTTTTGCCTTGATGACCTAGACAAAAAAAAGCATAGGGATGTTATAAATTCTTTGAAAAAATCCTCTTTTTTTAAGACATAACCTGGGATTCGAACCCGCACTATCGCGCGCCCTGCATGCATCCCCCGATACACTTCGCATACATACTAATTCTTCCAAGTTGTTTCACATTGTGATCTGATGGCAAAAAAGCATAGGATGTTATAAATTTTTTAATTCTCCTATTTTTTCAGGCATGTCCTGGGATTCGAACCCGCACTATCGCCCTACATGCATTCCCCCATACACTTCGCATTCATACCCATTCTTCCAAGTTGTTTCACATTGCGATCTTGCATTTGAAAGCCCTATTTGAATATGCATTGTGGCCAGCCGTCTTTGATGGCACGGTACGGTAGGGGATAGGTACGGGACAGGTACGATCGAGGGTAATACGACACCGTCTCCCGTACCGTACCGTACCATCAAACACAGCTGGCCACATGCAGCTGCCCGCAATATTCAAATAGGGCTTTCAAACGCAAGATAATAACGTGAAGTAACTTGGAAGAATGGGTATGAATGCGAAGTGTATGGGGGAATGCATGTAGGGCGATAGTGCGGGTTCGAATCCCAGGATATGCCTGAAAAAAAAATAGGAGAATTGAAAAATTTATAACATCCTATGCTTTTTTGCCGTCAGATACGGATAGCGCCAGGCGTGACACAAACAAACAAACAAACAAACACACACACAAATACCAAACGAGAGAGCTTGGAAGCTCAGGGCCCTACGCTATGCTTTTATGCTTTTTTGCCTAGCTCATCGTACATATTATAAGAACTGATGGAATTGTCTTTTTCCGTTGATTGGCCACATCACTGTATTGCAAAAACGTTTCAATCGGTTTGAATATTATGAGTTAGGCAAAAGTCTTTGCAGAATTTATTGCGGATTGTTATTTCTCTAATAATCATCTACTTTTGTTTTGCTCCTTTAATTTTTATCTCCTTATATTGTAAATCAACAAATTTTGGCCGATGAGAAATAGAAACCTCTCGATTAGAGAGGTTAAGATGCACGTTATTTCCGACGTGACGCACAGTTTCACGTCAAATTTGAAATCGATCGGTATTTTTGCTCTCACATGCATCCATTGCTCAATCATGCATCATTTGCCTATATGACAAACGTTGGCCTGCGATTTACTTTGGCCGGTTGGTACCAAGCGGCGAAATCAGCGAAATTAAATCGCCAGCGAACATTAGTTGATTTTAATACAGGAATCGGATTTTCTGGCCTTTTTGTAGTAATACATGTACATTGACCTGTTGAGCCAATGACGCCGCCGAATGCATGGTTGCCTGTGGAGCACATTACATAACTTTACAGTCTCCTAAAATACGTATCCTGTCCGACGGCAAAAGAGGCTGCAGATTTAGTTTTTCTGCGCGTCGACGGGATGTCTGCGACGCGAAAGTTCAGCTCGCGTTATTTGGCTCGCACGTCGAAAAAATCAACGCGAGTGACCTGCTGCTCACGTCGAAATTTGGACATTACATAACTTTACAGTCTCCTATATAAATACGTATCCTGTTCGACGGCAAAAGAGGCTGCATATTTAGTTTTTCTGCGCGTCGACGGGATGTCTGTCCTGACGTTTCCTGGGACCGGCGCTGACTCTGCCGATCACGGGCGTTCTGGACTCGACGGGATGTCTGTCCTGACGTTTACTGGGACCGGCTTAGACTCTGCCGATCACGGGCTTTCTGGACTCAACGGGATGTCTGTCCTGACGTTGCCTGGTACCGCCGGACTCTACCGATCACGGGGATCTCTCTTCCGACGTTTCCTGTGACCGGCACTGAATCGCTCGTTCACGCTTATTTTGGAGACGACAGGATCTCTCTTCCAAAGTATGTTTATGCTGACGCATCCTATCACCTAATCGGCGTCTATTCTAATTTAATTTCCTCCTCGTCTCCCTATTTCTTTCCAAATCCCCCTCTACATCAGGGAGTCGTATGCATAATACGACGAATATTGGTACGGTACGGGACAGATACAGGAGCCCGCAAATATTGTGGACAGCTGTTATGTACAATCATGTAGAGCCTTTGTAGTCACAGATACGGGACAGATACGGGACAGATACGGGACAGATACGGGATAGCGTCAGGCGTGACACAAACAAACAAACAAACAAACACACACACAAATACCAAATTAAAGCTGTGTGGACCCTGGCTAGCGCCAGACGTTACTGAAGTAACGTCTTCTGCATAGCTACGGGAATTAAAGCTGTGTGGACCCTGGCTAGCGCCAGACGTTACTGAAGTAACGTCTTCTGCATAGCTACGGGAATAATTGATCTATGCATCTCATGTCACTTCATCACGCAACACGAATTTTCATATCCTTCAATGATTTTGTGAGTCTGTGACTATATTTTCGCTGGGTTGGGAAATGTCGCATCTTACCAAGACAGTCCGTCATCCTCTCTCCAATCACCTACGCCATGATGAATTAATCCTTTCCTGTAGCTCGTAGTGTTGTGCCAGAGATCGAGCTCCATTGGTCTCTTGCACGTAGGTCCAGCAGATTGCACATCGCTAAAAAGTGGCACTGATTCTTTGTCCGTCCTAGTCCATGTCATTCTCCTTCCCTGGTGTAGGTAGTGGAGAAGCACCACGGGACGATATGCTAGCAGGTAGAGTCAATGCATCGCTTCGCCGTGTAGCACTATTGGCCTTGAAATGAGGAACATTTGGAGTACAGTACGCCACGTCATGAACATTTTGAAGGTACCCGAAACAAAGTGATACATCACAGCAAGATCCAACTCACTAGGGAGCTTGTCAGAGTGATAGTCACGGCTTGTAGACGTCGCCACATAGGTATACCTGCCGCTCTAGTCGTGGCCGCGATGAGAACCACAGCCACTTT